CCACATTTCTCCTCATAAATCCCAGCCTCCTGGATAATCTGTTCTGCATAAAGCCTGAAATGGTATAGAGAAAGGATACATCCCTGGTGTACACCCTTCCCAATTTTGACCCATGCAGTTTCCTTGCTCTGTTCTGACAACTGCTTCCTGGTCTAAGTATTGGTTTCCCATTAGCACAATCAAGTGTTCTGGGATTCCTATTCTTCTCAGAGTTAGCCATAGTTTGTTATGATACACACAGTCAAATGCCTTTGTATAATCAATGAAGCAAAGATATACATTCTTCTGGTACTCCTTGCTTTCAGCCAAAATCCATCTAACATTAGCTACAATACTCCTAATACCATGACATGGTCTAAACCAAGCCTGCAAATCTGGTAGTTCTCTGCTGACGTGCTGTTCCCGTTGTTTGTGGATAATCTTCAGAAGAATCTTGCTTGCATGTGATATTAATGATATAACTCATCAATATATTTCTTCTGGTTCACTACTTCTAGGCTATTATCTTTATTTGTGGCTTCCATTATTTCTTAAATCATTTGTGCCTTCATTTGTAGCTGTTTGAATGCCTCCGTATCAACATATATCATCTGCCTTCTTGATTCATGAGGTCTGCAATACTCTCGGCTTTTTTTTTTTAAAGATGGCTTAGTGTTTAAAGCTGCCTGCTGCTTTCTTGACATTATGTGAAGTTTTTCCTTGATAAGTGTTGGGCCATTTCTACTGTGTCTATGTTAAGTTGGTGGTGGCTCTTGTCTTTATGATGTTATTGTTTAGTTGCCAAGTTAAAACGTTCAGTCTCTGGAGTGAGCCACTCACTCTACTGAAAATCCTTTCTGGAAAAATTTGCCTTTCCTAAAGTTCTTGAGGTTCTCTCTGTTCGGCACTGCAGCTCCACAGGATTCTTGACTTACTGTAGTCCCATCACAAACTCTACTGTACTCTTTCTTGTATGAAGTGGCTGAGTGGTGCTCTACTGGAGCAGTTTCTCACGCACCTATTCTCCTGAAGCTAGCTTAATGTCTTCCTTTGACTCTGGAGTGGCACAAGATAAGAGATCAAGGTTGTCAGCTCAAGCAGCTTGTGTACAGGGGGTCTCAAGTCAGCCCTCCCTCCCACAGAGAGCTGAAAAAGTCTTTCCCCTGTTTGTAATTCTGTGTCCCAAAGTTTACTGTTCTGTTTGGTTCCTAGGATGGCCCCAAGGCTGCAGAGGCAAGGATCCCCAAATAGAGGGACCCATATCCCCAGGGATTTCTCAAAACTAGCCACAATTTGTTATGATCCACACAGTCAAATGCCTTTGCCTAGTCAATGAAACACAGATAGACATTCCCCTGGCACTCTTTGCTTTCTGTCAAGATCCATCTGACATTGGTGATAATGTCTCTTGTGCCATTACCTCATCTAAACCCAGCTTGTATTTCTGGTAGTTCTCTGTCGATGTAACAATCATTTTTTAATAATCTTCAGCAGGATTTTGCATGCATGTGATATTAGTGATGTTGCTGGATAATTTCCATACTCTGTCAGGGCACCTTTTTTTTGGAAGGGGAATAAATATGGATCTCTTTCAGTGAGTTGGCCAGGTAATTGTTCTCCACATTTCTTGGCACAACCTGACACACATGTCCAGGGAAGCATCTGTTTGTTGAAACATGTCAATTGGTATTCCATCAATTTCAGAAGCCTTATTTTTTGCCAAGTCCTTCAGAGCAGCCTGTACTTCCTCCTTCATCACCACTGCCTCTTGATCATATGTTGTTTCATGAAATTCTGTATCAAAAGAAGTGGTACAGTGACTCTAAATACTCCTTCCACCATTTAATGCTTACTGGATCATTCAGTATTCTGCCCATAGCATCCTTAAGTACTGCAACTCGCAATTGAGATGCTAGCAGAAAACACTGGTACTGCTGGAAAGATGATGGCATATTTTCTGAGTTCAAAATTAAAGCCATGGAAAAGGGGAGGAAGGAGTAATAAATAATGTCACAACATCTCAGAGATCTGGACAATGACTAAGGATGCCATAAGGATTGATACCTTTGACTTGCAGTGCTGGAGAAGAGTCTTCAACATACCATGGACCACCAAGAAAACAAGTTGTAAGTCTGTCTTAGAGAGTGTGAAACCAAGTTTCTCCTTGGAGGCTAGGATTTTGAAGCTCTGTCTCACATACTTCAGACACGTGGCCAAAAGAGAACACTCCTTGGTAAAAGACATCATGCTCAGAAGAGTAGAGAGACAGCAGAGGAGATGAAGATTCCCGATGAGATAGATAGATACAGTAACTGGGGCAATGGGGGTAGGTGCATAGGAATCAGTAAGATGAACTCAGGACAGGGTAGGCTTCAGCTGTTGCACACAGGGTTGCTATGACTCACAGGGGACTCAACAACACATAACACCACCACCACCACCATATCCCCAGGGAAGCCTCAGTCCTGTCTCCCCACAAACAATGAAGAATTCTTGCTCTGGGCACAGAGCCCCACCTCTCTCACCTTTTCTCCTGTAACTTAATGTCTTCATTTGTCTCTGGTGTGATGTGAGATCAGGGCCACCAGCTCAAGCAGCTTGTGTGTAGGGGTGGGGTGTCAAGTCAGCCCTCCCTGTCACAGAGAGCTGAGAAAGTCTTTCCCCTGTTTGTAGCTCTTGTGTCCCAAAGTCTACTGTCCTGTTTTGCCCCTAGAATGGTCCCGCAGCCGTGAAGGCAAAGATTCTCAAATGAAAGGACCTATATTCCCTTGGAAGCCTCAGTTCCATCTCCCTCGCAGTTCTGATTTTTAATTCAGATCCTCCAACTTCTCCCTAGTGCAAACTGTTTTATGCACAATCTTATAAAACAACTGAGGAGAATAGAAAAGTTTTTCCAGAAATCCCAGGGCCATTGAATAAAAAGGCAAAAGACAGGGAGAAGAGAGGATGATCCCAGACCTGGGAAATCCAAGAAGGAAATCTTTGTTAGAGGCTGCTCTTATGAAGGAAATTAGGGTAGCTTCTCCCTTGGAAATGAAGGTAGCATCTCCTGAGGGGATTCCAGATTAAAGTTTTGCTTGTAGGTTGGCTGCAAGAGTGGTAGTGATATTGTTCAAAGTTACTTAAAATTGTGCAAGTAGCTAAGACATCTTACAGAAGAGAAGGTGATTAGCTGGGAGGTCTGGATAAGTTGATGTGGTACCTTTCCTTCATGCTCAGGAGCTGATGGCACTCAAACTTAGCCTCCTATAGAGGAATAACAGCCTATAGCAATCCATTAATTGAATGGCTGTTATGTGTTATAACTTCATTCTATGGAACAAAGCAATTCCAGAAGCTGGCAGTCATAGGAGTTCAGCAGGGTATAGAATAATACTGGGCAAAAATAAAGGGGTCTCAAAAAACAAAAAGAAAAGCTAAAAATATATTTACCACTGTATGTGTTAAGATAAAGATATTGTTAAAATAAATGTTTCATTCTATCATTTAACAAAATTTGAAAGAGATAATATAAAAATTTTATCCACAGGAACTTGTAAATTCTGGGAATCCTGTGATTAAAATTAAGAACCACTGACCTGTTATTCTGGCTATTGTGCATTCAGAACATCTCCACAAAACTACTATTAAGCAAAGATGAAAGCACTATGAATTACTGAGAGGTTCTCCCTAAAATAATTATTTTTACTTACCTCTTGTCTGAATTGTGTCCACATAAAAATATATGTATGTAATTATATTACATGGAAGTAATAGAATAAGCCTCCATGAGAATTCACCTATGAGATGCTGAAAGAAAGAGAGAGCGAGCACACGAGAGAGAGCGAGAGCGAGAGAGAGCGCATGCTCTCGAGCTGGCACGCTAATTGATGGGAACATAAAGCCTCCTAAACTGTAAAGGAGAGAGCTGTGGTGGCTTAGTGGTAAGGAATTTTGCTGCCAATGCAAAGGTACAAGGTCCAAATCCACCAGCTACTCTGTGGGAGAAAGATGGGCAATCTCCTCCATCTCTTTCTGTGCGATTTATTGCCTCTGGAAAACCACTGGAGAGTCAGCTATGAGTAAATTCCAACTTTTACAGTATACAATAATAACAAACTATAAAAGAATAAATTTCTGCTTGGTATCTCTGTTGCAGCAGTACTTGGATAACTAAATCATCCCTTTATTTGGCATTCCATGTTTTCATATCACAGGGCAATATACCGTATTAAGATTGGGAATGGGCAGGAGACATGTCTTCTTTTGTCCCATGGGAATAAGCTACCTATTTTCAGAACAGTTTTGGTAAATAAAGTGAAACTTGGAATAGAAAGAACTAGATATTGTTCCAGGTCTTGGACGTTTCCCAATTTTAACAGAGTGCAATTTTATTACTTTTCTAGAACTCTCTATTGTTGTTTGCTATTAAATGAGAACTGACTCATAGCTGACCTTCCAGTGGGTTGTCAGAGGTAATAAATGGCATAGGAAGAGATTGCCTATTTTTCTCTTGCGGAACAGTTGGTGGATTGGAACTGCATGCCTTTCAGACTGCAGCACAGTTTTCTTACCACTAGGCCACCAGAGCTCCCTATAACTATCTATTAGTGGAAAATATCTGAGTTGCGCTTTTCTGGCAGGTTTCCACTTTATAAAGGTTTTCCAGGTTTTAATATAGTACAAAGTTAAGAGAGGGGCCTGAAAACTGATCTCCTTAAAAACTGCATGCCCCATGGTAAATCTTTTGAGAATCTGGAGGAGCTTGCACACTACAGTGTGAAGACTGCTGGACTGATGCATAATAGATTGGCTATTACTCATTACCTTCTTCTACCCAACACGTTTATATAAATTATGTATAATCCTTAACAAGCTTAGGTGGTAAGTACAGCATTATCTTCACTTTATAAATAAAGAAATCTTTAGAAGTTCAATGATATAGCCAAGGCTTTACAGCTGCCAAATGACAGAATGAGGTTATAAATTAAACATGTCCTTTTCACATCACAACACGTGCACCCACCACTACCAGATCTTACCTTTAGTACATCGGTGGGGTTAGCTATAGTGGAAGATATCACTCCTGACACTACCCCACAGATCATATTAATTAGAAGAGTTTCATCTGTAAAAAGTGAAGAAAAAAACCAAAGGTATGTTTGTGTTAGGTACCATTTTCTGAGAATAATGTACTGAGGTATGAGAAGGAAAGACCCCCAGGCAGAGAGATGAAACTCAAATATTTCTTCATCCCAAATCTGCATTGAAATATATAAAAATTGCAAAATAAAAATCATTAACTTGAAAAAATTCTTCATTTCTAAAGATCCCTGGGACACATGCCTATGTAACTACTGATGCCCCACATAAATTGAGAATCTTATCTTTCCCCCTCAAACATTCCAAATATTCTTTAAAAAGTCACTTTATCTAGGAAAACATTGACTCAATCAATTCAAGACTCAGAAACTTGAACATCAAAAGATAAATTTTTATGTCTATTAGATCAAATGGCCTAAATATTACTATTAAACTTAGACCTATCCAGGTTTCCACTGATTTATAGAAGGCTTCTGTAGTTAACTGTGGAAAAGTAGTCATTTGGAAGGAAATCTCCTCAGAGAAAAAACAAAGAAACCACAGAGCATATTGTTCTAAAGGGGAAATAATGTAATCTTCACCACTCCTCCTCATCACTCCTTCAATTTGTACTGAAGTACCTACAAATAGAACCGAGGTAAATATAAGTGTTTTAGCATCTGTGAAAGCAAATTAATTTAGAAAGAGGTGGCAGGGAACCCTTCAGGCTCCTCAAAGAAGAGGTTCTAGGAAAAGTGTATTTAGGACAATAAAGTGAGGCAAAGGACATTACTAACAGAAAGGCTCTCTAGCTGTCCCCAACCCTTCAGCCGTCCTTCAGGTCTGTGGTAAAAGAACCATTTAACATAGCATCAGGCTGGAAATGCAAACCAGCAAATAGATAGACATATGGTATGCAGAGTTGGGGTAAGATGGTCACATGTACATCAGTGTCTAGACTCTAAGACCCTAAAATGAGAAAAGCTTATAAAAATTAGCAGCTAGAGAATCTTCTATAATTAAAGACATCTTGCTGATGAAAACAGCATTCATTTTTCTGGACAAGATTGTTCTATGTTCCCTATGAAATGGCCAGAACTTTTTTCACTTAAATGACAAGAATGGGGACAAATGTGAAGGAAAGTCCCTCTTAATCTGTATACCAACAAGTATGCAATGACTGTCAATCATCCTTAAACATCCATAATGAAAATAAGCATGACTTCATTAACTCCCTTAAGTATGACTCCAAAAGAGACAGAGGAGGCGATACTGACCTTCCAAGCGTTCTACAAATAATCGTTTCAAGCTTTGGTAAATGCCAATTTTAATGGTACCATATGATGCCTGTCTTAGCAAAGCAGGAGCAATTCTGCCAAAAGAAAGAAAAGTCAATTATACTCAGTATACACTTGTAGATTATACATATCTAGGCAATCTACTCATCTCTACTATCTGCTTCACTCATTACTATCCATCTCATTCTACTCAACAGCAGAATAAGCATTTCTCCAAACACCTAAAATAACTGAAATCATATGGAATATGCTTGTCAATCATAAAATTATTAAAGTGGAAATCAGTAAGAAAAACAACAAAGTTCTCACTCAAGAAATTAAATCTCAAATTTCTAAACAATTCATAGGAACTCTGGTGGTAAGGAGCTGTGCTACGAACCCAAAAGCATGAGGTTCAAGACCACCAGCTGCTCCAAGGGAGAAAGATGGGCAGTCTCCTCCCATGTGATTTACAGCCTCTGAAAACCTGCTGAAGGCTTAGCTATAAGTTGGTTCAGACTCAAGAATACATAACAGAAATTTGGGGTTTTTTTTTTAAGTGAAAATAAAATTTCAATATATTAAAATGTGTGGGATGGGGAAGGGTGGAAATAGAGGAGTGAGGATGGGTGGTGGTAGGGTGTTAATTCAATGGGTGGGTGGGGTTAATGAAATGGGAAGACTCTTTTGTGAAAAACATTGTATTTAAAATTTGTAAAAAAATCAGAGTAATATATAGAAATGTTTTTAAAACGTATGGGATGAAACCAAAGCAGTGCTGAGAGGAAAATTTATAGTGTGCAATGCTTACATTAGAAAAGAAGGAAAGTCTCAAATCAGTAATGGAACAAAACAAAAAGAAAGAAGGAAATAATAAAGAGAACAAATCAATAAAATTGAAAAAGAAAATAGAGACAAGAAAAAGTTGACTCTGAAACCTAAAAATCATTAAATTGGTAAACCCATTAGCAATATTCAAAGATTAAAGAAAGAAAACACAAGTCACCAACATCATATATAACAAAAAATACTACAGTTATTAAAAGAGTAAAGAAATATAATTTTAAGCTCATAAATATAAAAACTTAGGGCGAATTTCTCAAAACCAATCAAAATTCAACAAAGATGAAACAGAATAAGACAATATACCAGTAACAGAATTGTTTTATAATGTATTGGAAAATGTTTAAATAAAACTGATTTTCAATATGAAAAAAAAAAAAACACTCCTAAAGAGAAATCTCCAGGCCTAGATCATTTTACTAGTGAATTTTAACACACATTTTAAGAGAAATTATATTCTTATATCATGTAGAAAACGGAAGCAGGAACCCTAATAACAAATCCAGACAAAGATTGCAATAAAGAAAAAACAGACCAGTATCTCTCATGACCTTGTTGTTGTTGTTAAGTGCTGTCGAGTCGCAGGCAACTCATAGTGACCCTATGAAGGAGAGTCCTCAACGCTTGGGTGCCGTTCATCCTCTCTCGAGGTTCACAGGGTTTCCGGAGGCAAGCTATTATGGAAGTGGATGCCACTCCTACTTCCAACTCATGACCTTAGATGCACAAATTCTCAACAAAATACAAATTGTATCTAAGATGTTGTCCTCGAGTTGCTATAATCAAGGATGCTTTCGGCAGAATGTTAAATGATCCAGGAAGTATTAAAAGAAGATGGAAAGAATATACTGAGTCACTGTATC